TCGATTTGTTATAGATTACATTACAGCCTGAGTTAGTAGATGCTCCAAATATAGTAAAACTAAAAAATATAGCGTAGCGAAATAGCGAAATAGTTCGCTACATTTTTTAAGCAGTAGCTGTAGTCAGTAGCGAACTACCTTTGTTCAAAAGTAGCAGTGGTTGTAGCTGACTACATATTTTTGAAGTAGCTGTAGTTATAGCGAACTACAAAAATTTTGTAGTCAACCCACCCTTGATATTTTCAAGTGTACGAGGTTAAAGAAAATAGTCGCTTATTATATATAGTGAGGTTGGTTCAATATATATATATATATATATATATATATATATATATATATATATATATATATATATATATATATATATATATATATATATATATATATATATATATATATGCATAAATATCACTAGCCTCCCCAAAAACTTCATTTATATAAAACTTCAAGTTGGAAACAAATTTTATTAAATTTCAAACAAATACATAATCTGACGAAGGGGCTGTGCCCCGAAACGTATTATGTATTTGTTTGAAATTTAATAAAATTTGTTTCCAACTATATATATATATATATATATACCGGGTGTCCCAAAAAAAAGTACTCCTGTTTGATTCGTAATAACTTCTAGACAAGTAAAGCTTTTAAAGAGAAATAACTTGCATTAAATAGAGGAAGGACTAACTTAGATTTTGATATATTAGAGTTGTATTTTACTTAAAAATTCACGGAGATATTAATGTTCAAAATCGGGAGCATATTTTGGGATGTGTCTAAAATTAGCGAAAATCGGCATATCAAATATTAACTCCAGCGTTTGTTTGCTTAATGACATATCAGGCTAACTTGTATTTCAGCGAATTGTCGTTAGGGTTTGTAAGGGATATGGTGTAGATTTAGACATCTTACATGTAAGTCTTAGCTCATTGTTTCCTGAAATATGAACGTTCGAAATTATGCAAGTATTTAATATTAGGTCTTTGCAAACTTAAATGCACATGAAAGACTGACCATGGAAGGCAGGCGCTTAAATTTTTCGTATTCTTAAATAGCCTAATTTTTTTATGTTTTTAATGGTTCAAACAGACTGAGTAGATTATTTCTCGGTTAGAGCAGGATGAATATTCTTTATTGAAGGAAATAATATTGCTTTTTGCAAATACACATCACCGTATCAACGCTACTATTTTGTTACGTTTTGTTCCAAAAATGTTGCATGTCTCTGGGGAGTTGCTTAATTGTTATGTCTTATGAAGTTGTATGGTTTGATTGTGTTTCATATAATTCTCAGTTTACTCTGAACTTGCCAAAATTAAGAAAAGGCAAAAGAGTTTGGGTGTTATTAACAAGATTTCAGAACGTTGCAGAAGTTAGAAGAGCTTCACAATTCCATTGTGACAGCATGCCCTAATTCTGAACTACGAACGATCCATGACGATCCTTCGCGATGCAGTGGTCTCATGAAATAAGGAAACGTATTCGTGCTAGAAACACACGCGGATTTCGGACGAATAAATCTTGCTTGTATTTTGTAGATAATAATACTTTGTTTCATAATAAACAATTTGTCAAGTGTCATTTATTTACCGGTAATAGTGCATGTTTCAGTCGGGCAAATCTTGATTAATATTTGATACGCCGTTTTTTGCATATTTCAGACACATCCAGAAATATGCTCCCGATTTTAAAGATTAATATCTCCGTGAATTTTTAAGTGAAATACAACTGTAATATATCAAAATCTAAGTTAGTCCTTCCTCTATTTAATGCAAGTTATTTTTCTTCAAAAGCTGTATTTGTTTAGAAGTTATTACGAATCAAACAGGAGTACTTTTTTTTGGGACACCCGGTATATATATATATATATATATATATATATATATATATATATATATATATATATATATATATATATATTATACTATATATATATACTATATATATATACTATATATATATATATATATATATATATAC